TTTGCATATTTTGTACGTACTGACTATCGAAAATCTAATAAGAAACAAATAAGAGAATGAGGAAAAAAAAACACTAATTGATAAAAATTATAACATTAGGTTTTTTTTCCCATAAATACGTACATCTACTTTCCGCTATTGACTAATACTCAGAACTAGATATGCAATTCTTGATTTTCGGAAATTTCGCTTTTAGAAACAGACAATACCAAATTCTTATAAACTGTTGCTGAAAGTGAAATTTCGGAAAACTAACAATTACAGGTTTTCCCTTTGCAGCACTCATATCTGTCAAAGAGGCGACGCTAAAGCAGAATTATAATATAATTACGCGAATAATGTGTAAGTGTAAGCATAACTTCAATATAATATCAAGTTTTAACATCTATATACGTTATTAGTGTGATGTTAAACTCCTTGCACCTCTAATGTGATTCGGAATTTTTGAAAATTTTTGAAAGAAGCATCAATCTCATCAATCTCTAATTTATTCAAGAAAAGAGAGTATGCTTATTTATTGGTTCCTCATTAAAAATACCTTTAGCTACCTGAATGCATTTTCTTCTATAATAAATTTATTTTTGCATTCTGAGCTTTTAGTTCATTTAATATTCGCAAAATGAGCTAGGTATTGTAAATTGAGATGTTTTTAACTCTACTTTATAGGTCGCGGCATAATCTTTTTTGATTGATTTTAGAAACTTGTTCGGCATAAGTTTGGTTTCTCAAACTAATTTTGGCATTTTTCATGTTTAAATAAATCTAGTTTGAATGGTATATTCGATGTTGTATGTTATATATTTGTATATTTATTCAAACTTGATTTCATGTACATAGCAAAATTTTAATCATATATGAACAACAATGTCTGTACTATATAGTATTTTCGAAAAATAAAATCTTGAAATATATATGATGTATATGAAAAGGTGAGCTGATTATGTGTAAATTTTGATCACCAAGCCAGCTTTATTATATAAAAAGATATACGATTATACACTTTTAAATCCTCCTTTTTAGTTTCCCTTCCTCAATTTATGTTAAATTCTAATTCAGTTAATAAAGCTTTAACTTTTTCACGATATTCTTCCAAAATTTGTTCAGGCGAATTCATTTGTGATAAAGACTGTTGAGACAACAAGCAACTTTCTGATTCATTACGATCATTCATGTTATTATTATTTTTACAACAATCTTCCATTGTACTATCCGACTTTTCACAGCAACTACATGTCGAATCAGTTGATAAAGTTGCTTTAAAATAATTTTTTGTGAAAAATTTTTCAACTGGTAAATTTGCAAGTTCACTTTCTAAAGATTTTAATTTATCAAGAGTGGATTGAGTTGGAAGTATAATGTTACTTTCATCAACATTAGTATTATTGAGTAGAGGTGTATAGTATTCTAGTAATGTACTTTAGAAAAATGAGTAAATAAAAGAATTTAAACGCTGATCAACAAAGAATTACAAGGAGATACTTACTTCAATAAACCTCTTAACCTACCAATCTCTTTTCCAACATTAGCTCCTTCAGCGTACCCTTTATTGAACCCTTCTTGAATGGTAATATCTTTACCTTCTACAATTCCTTCTTTGTACCCTATCTACATGTTAATAAAGTTTTTCTCGTAAAATGTGCATAGAGAAATGTATGTAGCTAGTAAAGAACTTACATTCCCAAAATCTTCATTCATACGTTCCCAGTCTTTTGACGAGATTAATTTATCATATTTCGATGTTTCTTCATCTGAAACCCAGACATCGTTTATTTGATCAACCATCGTTAATGGTTTTATTTTATGTTATTAAATACGTGTTCATGATTACTTATAGTTGTGAAACTCTTACCACGTGATATCCGGAATTTGCGCAAAAATTTTGTGGTCCTGTGATTAATACGATTACCGCCCAATCTGATTGTAAATTAGCAAACCCATAAAAAAAATACAGCTGACATCACTTGTAAATAAAATATATATTGTATACAATATATAATGATAAAGTCGAGT